AAGCAAAAACTTTGTACCCCTTTTTACGAAAATTGCGCTGACGGAGGAGTATGAAATTTTCCACACTTATACAGAATATAGAGAAGAAGTGCACAATGCTAATATTTTTTTAAAATAATGCATACAAGATACATTAAATCAATAAAGAAAACATTACACACACTACATACCATGTATTTGACGCACACACGCATGCATACTATTTATTGTCAAACTTTTGTTCTTGACGTCTGTTGTCAAATTGAGAATAGAATATGGTTTGTCTTTGTTAATATTTTTTATAGTGTAGTCTTGGCGAAATTTGTGATTATAGAAGTATAAAATACAATCATAATAGTGTACAAACTTACAATTCCAATTAATTATAGTCGAATTTCGACTACTGCGGGACCTCTAGTTCTGTGATAACGTGAAACGCGGTAACAAAGAGGATATCTGGGTAATGTTTGTACTAAAATATTACCGATTAGAACAACTTGGTACAATTAACTTTCAATATGATAATTAAGGTTTACGAATTGAATAATTGAATATTTTAATACTGCTGGTAGGACGTCTTGTGAGTCCGCACGGGTAGGTACCACCACCCCGCCTATTTCTGCCGTGAAGCAGTAATGCGTTTCGGTTTGAAGGGCGGGGCAGCCGTTGTAACTATACTGAGACCTTAGAACTTATGTCTCAAGGTGGGTGGCGCATTTGCGTTGTAGATGTCTATGGGCTCCAGTAACCACTTAACATCAGATGGGCTGTGAGCTCGTCCACCCATCTAAGCAATAAAAAAAATGCATCATAGGCAAATGTTTTAATATTACGAATAAAATATAAAATTTCTTTTACAATGGATATCTTCTTCACGATACTCGTAACTATACTGAGACCTTAGAACTTATATCTCAAAGTGGGTGCCGCATTTACGTTGTAGATTTCTATGGGCTTCAGTAACCTCTTAACAACAGGTGGGCTGTGAGCTCGTCCACCCATCTAAGCAATAAAAATAAAAAGTAAAATAAAAGAGATTGACTCACAGGAATAGTTCCACACGCTTCATACTTGATTTGGCTGGATTCCGGATATGACAGCTGGATTCGGTGTAAGTATGGCCCGGGTGATGTCACCGTTAGGTCGGTGCTGGATATGAGGTTACGTTGGACGTGTAAGCTCGCGAGAGCTTTACACCGTTTGCTCTCGCCAAACTTTTCGAATTTATGTTAAGTTCAGGTCCTGAAGGGTCTGGACGTGGACAATGGATGACCGCACAGACACTCACTGTCAGTTTATAATGTCGGGATCTTGTTGATTCACTTAAGCGTCACTGTCGTCATTAACGTTATCAGAACAAAAACTAATGGTCCTCTAAAAATAATTTTAATCAGTGCTGTAATCAATTTAACAATTATGAAGAATTTAGCGAGTGTTCTACTTCGCGGTCTGACCCGGACTGAAGCTTGAGAGCTCCACAATATATAAAATATGTGTCATATATTTAAAGGGGCCCTTTCATTAGTTATCCTAACAAATAAGGGATAAAGAAGGCGTCGCCTCGTCGTGGCCTAAAGGATAAGACGTCCGGTGCATCGCGCAACTGGCGATACACATGTTGGCGTACATCTTCGTGTAAGTGTTATGGCCAAATAATAGGGGTCAGAGTATGAAATTGCCGTTTTAGTGTAATAGGTACTTCGGATTGACATAGAACCTTCATGGTTTGAGATTTTTGAGTGAAACTTTTTTCAAATGGTGCCTGTGAGGTTTTTCTTTTGAAAAATGTGCAACATTCGATTATCGACTTTCAGTTGTTTTTTTTTATTCAGCTTAGACAAGAAAGAAGGATACTTTGAAAATTCGAGTGATTTTTGGATACGAGTTCCGACGCGGATGTAACGCTGCAGAAACAGCTCGTTATATCAATGTTGCGTTTGAAGAGGGGACTGTTAATGAACGCACCATGCGATTTTGGTTTCAACGCTTTCCACCACCCTACCTATTTCTGCGTGAAGCAGTAATGCGTTTCGGTTTGAAGGGTGGGGCAGCCGTTGTAACTATACTGAGACCTTAGAACTTACATCTCAAGGTGGATGGCGCAGTTACTTTGTAGATGTCTATGGGCTCCAGTAACCACTTAACACCAGGTGGGCTGTGAGCTCGTCCATCCATCTAAGCCATTAAAAAAAGAGTACACCGGGTGTCTTATCCTTTAGGCCAAGGCGATCTTAGAATATCTGATCTTACCTTTTTCGTCCGTCCCGACCGTCGGGAAGGTACTTCGATAAGGCGTTGCAGCCATGATATCCGAAACTAACAGTTTTGCACTGTGAGCGAATCAATGAATAAATAAAATTGTTTCAGGTTACATTTCACTTATCACGAACATGGCGTTTGGCTGTACCCGATCTTCAAAGCAGTTCAAGGAACGATACATTTCTATCTGCTCCACTTTTATGTCGCAGCTATGTGCTTGATGTTCTACAGGCTTCAGTGGCGGTTGAACTCTGTGATCCACGGCGTCGAAGACGTTGAGAAGATTCACTTCATAGATTCAGCTATAGGAAGATTCAGCTATAGGAAGTGGTTTACTTGGGCAATGTTACACGAGAGATCACAAATCGGCGTAAAATAATCCCCGATTTTCTGATAGACGTATTTGTGTTTTAATGATTTATTATATTTAGTTACTATACAACAGGGGCGGCCAAATTGATTAGAACCAAGATCTATTGTCTACTAACGAAACACTCTGCGATCTACCAATGACCTTTCTTGAAATTAAAAAAAACAATGTTGTTTAGTATACAAATTAGTAGCATATTTTCTTTTAATAAAAACCAAATGGCTTGGTCGATCTTGATAGATCACTCTGGATATTGTTAACTAGACGATGACGTTTTTGATAACGCCATCTTGTTGTGTCTTTAAAGCGGTTAGTTGCACTCAATTAAGAAAAATAGTATTATTATTCGCCAATAGATGTCGGGAAGAGTTGATTATTGAAAACACGAATAAAACAACATTTTCTGAAAATAAATCGTAGCTAGTTCGATTTATTGCCCCCGAAATCCCATGCATACTAAATTTTATGAAAATTGTTGGAGCCATTTCCGAGATTCAGATTATATATATACAAGAATTGCTCGTTTAAAGGTATAAGAAAGATTAAGACAGCAGAGAATATATAACAATGAAACAAACATAATGATAGCAAAAAAGATTTATAAATTAACAAAGCAGTCAACATTACTGCAGAAAACGTTCACCGAGCCGAGCTTTTCTTTTAATGTGGGCACATTGTAACAGGCTATCGTGAAGTCACTTGACCTCGCACGCCTTTTGTTTTGCGTACATTGCGTACACACAACCAAATCATACACAAGTTATCGTTTGCATTATTTTACTTGCTGCTGTGATTCTTCGGGATCGGTTCCACCACACCCTCTATAGCAAGGGTGGCCAACCGGTAGATCGCGATCGACCGGTCCATCGTGGCTATTAGTTCAGTCGATCGTAGAAAGACAAAAAATATAAATACATAGAACAGACTGCGCAACGTAATCATCTTATTTATTTTATTACTTAGATAGATGGACGAACTCACAGCCCACCTGATGTTAAGTGGTTACTGGAGCCCATAGATATCTACAACGTAAATGCACCACCCACCTTGAGATATAAGTTCTAAGGTCTCAGTATAGTTACAACGGCTGCCCCACTTTTCAAATCATAACGCATTACTGCTTCACGGTAGGAATAGACAGGGTTGCAGTACCAACCTGCGCGGACGCACAAGACGACCAGTAATTACGCAATTTATAAATATGCAGATTTTTTTTATTACACGATGTTCTTCCCTCTATAACTTAAGAAATATCTCTATAGCTTAAGTAGCTTAAGAACTATGTTAGTATTTAAATAAATCTATCGACTCCGTCCCTGGCAGCCTCATCAAGCAGCATGTAGCTGACCCACCCTTCAAACCGAAAAGCATTACTGCTTCACGGCAGAAATAGGCAAGGCGGTGGTACCTACCCGTCCGGACTCACAAGAGTTCCTACCACCAGCAAATAATGTGTTTTAAACCAGTTGGAAAAAATCGTATAGTTTGTTCCATTCATATGTGGATTTTCATTATTTTAGTGTATAGTTAATTGTCGCGGTAAACATTTTAGCTCCGGATGACGTCATACGTAATTAAGCTACGTTCAATCACGTTCTTTAGAACTAATGGCTCCCATTTTAACGCAAAAGACAACCAACAGTAGTTTCACATGTATAGCCAGAATTAACTGAGCTACGTTCGCTCGGAATTTGATAGTGACGTTCTTAAACGTGACAGGTCTGTTGGATGTGGTTATAAGTAACCAGTATTTTCTGATCTCTGTTTTTATCGCACGCTTCGGTGATCGCAGACCCGTCAAAGTAGACGCTTGTACCGTTAGAAGCAGTCACAGACCATAAGCTGAGCCGGTAGTACGTGTCTAATTCGTTATGTATAAAACTTGTTTGATATTATTTAAGTCTTTGCTTATTCGGTAAGTACTCATTTTGAATACATAAAAAAATCGATTTTAAGTTCCTTGTGAGAGCGCTGTGGCGAGTGGATGTGGGATGCACGTTGGCTATTGTTACGGTCCCGTGCCACATTGTGGTAGTCCATCCCAGTAAATGCCACTTCAGATAGGAGACTGTCATCATCATTCTCCTGCCCTTCTCCCAGTTATTTGGGGTCGGCGCAACAATTTTATTTTTTTATTGCTTAGATGGATGGACGATTTCACAGCCCATCTGGTCTTAAGTGGTTACTGGAGCCCATAGACATCCACAACGTAAATGCGCCACACACCTTGAGATATAAGTTCTAAGGTCTCAAGTATAGTCCTCAAGTATAGTTATATGTTGGGAAATCCCAACCGTTTTGGATGAAGTTAAACGATACTCAGCCAACTATAAGAACCGCTTGAAAGCTCACCCAAACCTGTTGTCCAGCTTACTATTGCAGCCAAATCCGATTAGAAGACTCAAGAGAGCCGACGTGCTACCCTACTAAGGCGAGACGGAGCATTGGCTCTGTCCCTCCAAACCAATTGTTAAATCACAACTCACCTGATTATAGTCTTGGCGACTNTTGGATGAAGTTAAACGATACTCAGCCAACTATAAGAACCGCTTGAAAGCTCACCCAAACCTGTTGTCCAGCTTACTATTGCAGCCAAATCCGATTAGAAGACTCAAGAGAGCCGACGTGCTACCCTACTAAGGCGAGACGGAGCATTGGCTCTGTCCCTCCAAACCAATTGTTAAATCACAACTCACCTGATTATAGTCTTGGCGACTGATCGCAGGTGTTAAAGATGGAAAAAAAATATGTTGGGATCACTATTCGTTCGCATTTTAGCCGAAAAATTGGTTTCAATAAAATAAAAAAAATGTACAGCTATACATACATCTTGTGAAGACTATTAATTATACCTTAATTAGCATTGTTATTGAGTTATTAAAATATAAATTTAAATCGCAAGGTTACACCAGAGAATTATGATTTTATTGATACTTGTTTGTTGAAATACATTTGTTTGTTCGCCTGACTACGGGTCGGACGAGTTTTTATTTTAATATTCAAGGCTAATATACTTAGACGGCACTGATAACTTTGATTTGTCTTTAAGCAGGACAATGACTATGGAAGGTTTTACTGGTGGTAGGACTTCTTGTGAGTCCGCGCGGGTAGGTACCACCGCCCTGACTATTTCTGCCGTGAAGCAGTAATGCGTTTCGGTTTGAAGGGCGGGGCAGCCGTTGTGACCATACTGAGACCTTAGAACTTATATCTCAAAGTGGGTGGCGCATTTACGTTGTAGATGTCTATGGGCTGCAGTAACCACTTAACACTAGGTGGTCTGTGAGCTCGTCCACGGTTCTAAGCAATAAAAAAAAGGAACGTGACGATTCTTTTTTTTTTGTTGTCCTACCTATGCTGATAGCCTTGAGAGGCTATTTTAGCTTCACCCTAACACGAAGGTGAGCTCACGGGGCTCAAACCGGAGAGTTGCTAACACTGACCCTAGCAAGAGCAGTGCTTCGCAGCATCTACCACCGGATCGGAACAGCCCTCTCATCGTGGCCGCCGGTAACTACATTCCCGATCCTGCGGACAGAATGGAAAGCAGTCGACGTCGCCCAAAACACGTCATCTCGGATCCTCCCGATCCACTAACGGTGCTTTTAGGTACTTCAAGCACCGGTCACCGTTCTCGTCGAACCCGTCGCTTGCGACGAAGGGCTCGACGAGTAAATTAACTCTCAGACACAGCCCACTGAGTTTCTCGCCGGATCTTCTCAGTGGGTCGCGTTTCCGATCCGGTGGTAGATTCTGCGAAGCACGGCTCTTGCTAGGGTTCGTGTTAGCAAC